TGTCAGACATGTTTTATTTCTAAGTATGAATTTAAGATMTGAGCATTGATGAAATGCTTGCACTCCTGATAACCAGCTTTCTTTCCTTTCTTTCAGTGTACTCAGGAAGCATTACACCTCCATGTGTAACATCCTTGTTTTCTCTCATCAATTCTGGGCCCTGTTATTGGTGCTCTGACCCTGTGTACCTTAAAAACCCTGGAAATTTATTGGATTTTCCCACCATGCTGGACTGACTTCTTCCTGTTTCTTTATTGTCTTCACCCATCGGTTTTCTTTTCTGCAGCAGATGGTTACTGATGATCAGAGAGCTTCAGAACCACCCGACTCACCTCCACATTGACATCATAGCTCCTAGCCGACTTCCACCTTCCCACCTGAGTTAGTCTCCTATTCCTCCAGGCTACTATCATCTCCCTGTTCCCTGATCTTTCACTCTTCAGCTGACCAATCCCTTCTGCTCCTCTCATCCTGTCCTTGCAGTAGCCATTCTTCACTGAAGTTCTGCCCTGTAGAAATCTTCTGCTCTCATTTCTCCTTCAAACATTTGTTTCTTCTGCTTTTATGTCTGTCCATCTGGTTAACCCCTTTTTCTTGGCTTCATTTGGCTCTACATTGCAAAACAACTTTACCAGAATAGCACTTTCAATTATGCCACAACATTTACAATTTCTTGCCATGCATCTCATAAGAAGAACTTACACTCCATTTTTTTTTTTTTTTGTTTGTTTTTTGTTTTTTTTTTTGCTGGGTGACTATTTACTTTAAAAAAATGGTGCACATAGTCACTGACACAGTTCCTTAGCATGAATCATCAATGACCCCAGAATTTTAGGTATTTGTTTTTTAAATGTACTAAGTCTAAATATAGGCCAGATTCCTCTCCCATTAAAAATATTTTTAATGCATTTGCTTGAAGTTTGCAGAGTTCAGAAGACATCCTCACGTGCACACCATAATCTAGAATTCATACTGCAATTAAGGAAGGAAAATGAGTTGTTGGTTATTATTATACCACAATTAGGGAAGGAAAGCTGGGGCAGACTTTTTGATTTAGCAAGTTTTTATATGTCACACGGAATTCCAGTTAGCAGATGCTTCTGTCTAAAATCCTAGAGATGGAAATTCAGCTTGTATCATCTTCCCTTGTTTCTTCACATTCCCAATGTGTTTGCCTGTTTCCTTCAGAGAGAGAAACACAAGCTGAATCCTAACAGGAACCAGCAAGTACATGTGAGAAAAGTCAGAACAAGAAAAGAAGAGTGGGAGAGAAGGAAAATGGGCATTGAATTTATGAGTGATGCAAGGAAACTGGAACAGGCAGGGAGCACGAAAGAGGACAGGATGCCCAGAGGGTTTGTCATTTTCTTTCTTTGGATTCCCAGTTCCAGGCCACCCCCTGCTTCAGTGTCATGAGAGGATGTGCAGTCCCTACTCACACGTGTCCAGTAACCCAGGCCAGGAGTGTGTGACTGTTACTAATGCCTGTGGCCAAGCTGCTGCCATACATGCAAGTCCATCCTCTCCTTCTGGGGCTTAGCCAGCGTCCAGCACCTGGCATCTTTCTGAACTCTTCTCACTAATATGTGATTTCCATTTTCAGAGTTTTACCCTTGACTATGTGTTCAAAGAAAGCAAAAAGGCCTTTCCATAGTGTACTACATTGCTTCTTTCTCTTTGGGTTAAATAATTGCTTCTGTTATGAAAAACATGGTTCACTCTGTTACATTCTGCATTTCTCTTTCTGTTCTTATTGTTAATATTTACCCAGTTCACCTGCCATTTTGTATTTTCTAATTATATACTGTCAGTTTCATTGCCACCGAAATCCTGTCTGAGATGCTGTTTCTAAATGAAATGAGATTCATCTTGTAGTCTTGTCTCTTAGAAAAGAAGTACATGAAATACTGTGAAAATGAGGCTCTGCTGGTTCCTGCTTGCTGGTCTGTCTGACTTATTCACTTCAAAGCTGTGAATC